TGAGTCGTCTCCCTCGGTCATTCCCGGATTTAATTAAACACCTTATTACATTATTTCTTGCACCGGTACCTGGACTCGAACTTGTGACGACCGCAATGGAAATCATCGAAGCTACCAACTTTGCGACACCAACACTTACAACAACTGATCTAGAAATATCTACATGTTGTTCTACATGTTCGCTGTGTAGAGGCTTTATAATAATACATGTGCAACATCACCCAATTAACAATTTTCACAACGTAAACGCTTTACTCATTTCATTTATACAACCTCAAGCTGTATTCAAACGTTATACGATATGAAGAAACCTTTACTCAACCTCTATACAAGCAAATCTGGCGAACTTACTCAGCTACTTATGGCTGTTGGAACGGTCGGGAGAAGCTCTTATTGCATATCCATTAACGCTTCTATACAGCTGTTATCCTGCTGTTTAGTTGTGTGTGAACTTGAAAGGCGCTTATTCAACCTTTTTCCGGTTATCCAATAATCACTACACAGCTTTCTCTTGAAGCCGGGTTAAATATTGTTTACGCCTTTTTTGTTGTTGGAGGAATTTATCATGTTTATTTATTTTATTGCGAATCAAATTAATCGAAATTAGTTACAAATCATCACGAAATTATTTACCCTGCACCGGAGGAACCTGGAATCGAAGTCGAGACGACCTCATTGGCAAACCTTGACACTACCAACTGTGCTACGCCAACACTTTGAACTTGTGTAAACAAATCAACATTCCCTTCTACAACAAATTCACTGAGTAGAGGCTTTATAATAGTGCACATGAATCACTTTTCTCGACTAGTTATAAAAGAGCAGAGTAAAAGCTGTAAAACTGCACACGTCTAAAAATAAACCTAGTTGACTGTGAAAATGCATCCGACGTTACTCTAACACAGTTTATAAGCTGAGTACAGGTTGTTTAGCTGTGGAAAAAGCACTTTTGATGTTTATGTTATTCAGCAAGAGTGGTTGGTTGTGTAGAAGCCATCAAATGAGTAACATATTCACTTTGTTAGCTTTGTTTTGCAGCTACAAGTTGAAAGTTGATTAGTGTGTGTATAAAAGTAACATTGGCGTTTATTGGCTGATGTTATTCAGTGCGACTGACAAATTGAATAATGGTTGTGAGAAAGTTGAGTAAACGCTCTCCAAAACTATTTTGCCAGCTTTTGCTTGTAGCTGTATCTGCAGCTTCTTTTCAGCTACTTTACAGTACAACGCTGGAAAAGTTGGCTTACAAAGCTGAAAATGTTAGTTGGGGTAACTCCATTTTGTAAACAAATCTTTTAAGGCCATTTTCTCGCGAACCGAAACCTTCATTAGCAAACCTAAACCACAATCAGGTAGAGGAGAATTTCCCCACCTGTTCATTATTTTGGTTTGCCTTTGCGGACTTTGGTTCGCGAGAAAATGGCCTTACAAGGTTTGTTTACAAAATGGAGTTCGGTTGTGAGCTAGGTTTTAAAAACAAACGAGCAAACTGACGTTTTTCAGAAAAAAAAATCAGACCCAATCTTGATACCCGATCCAGGTTGGAACTGAATAATAAACGAATTCGCTATTAAATGATGCATTAGTGTGAGCCGATTAAACGTCAAAAAGCTCAATATGTAATGGAGACTATTTGCAAGGGACCGGTGTTAATCACAAATTATGTCACCATGGTAACTGAAAAAAACACGAGTGCTGACCGGTTGTTTAAATTGTTCATTACCGACAAACCGATATTCAGAAAACTTACCACGGACGATTAAAGCGACTCAAAAGGGACTTGAATTGAACTCAATTTTGCCAAAAGTGGTTTTGCTCGAAAATGGGTTGAATTTTTCCATATTTTTGAGGAGACGAACAGAGTAACATTTTCATCGATTTTTATCATATTCGAAAAGCTTTTCCTAGGAAAGCTCGGTTAATTTTAATCCCTTTGAAAGAAAATCAACTTTTGACTAAATTGGGTTGTTTAGGGGTATTGAGGTAAATACATATTCGTTATCTGCATTAAAAATGGAACCGAAATCCAAAATTTTATAAATTTTGGTACACTGAAACTATTTTAAATAAGTACGATTACATTAGCAAAAATCACCGTCTTAGCGCTCCTTGGTGGGACGTTGCCTGGGAGCGAGCTTTCAACTAATAGATTTAGTGCCAACGATTAAAAATTTAAATTTTGATTTTAAAAATCGAGATGAATGTCTACAGGATCGATAAAAATATCGTTGTGCTCAGAAAACGAAGCTCTATCAGATGATGTATAAAAATCGGTATTGTGTGTGGCAGGATAATTTCTCAAAATGGGATTATACCATCTGTTTTCTGTTTATGGCCGTACGACTGCGCCCATTGATTTAACACACGGCGGCTCTTTATCCTGAATTCGCTCCTCAAGCCGCTGCCATAAAATACTATCTAGGCTACACACCTGTGTATAATTCTTATAGGCAGGGTTGCAGCGCGCTTATGAGCGGCGCGCTTTGACCGTCACCAAATGAGAATTTAACATAAGCGCGACAATATATTTTTCAAAATTAAACAATCCAATTGAGTCGAATTCAACTCACTTTTAAGTCGGTTTCATCGTACGTGCGATAATGACAACGCTAATTATCGTCAATATGATAACAGCAGCACAAATTATGAATTTTGTTTAAAACACGGCGAATGAGAACTACCCAAATTTGAGTTTAGTTCACTCATAATCGCCAAAAGTGCAGGAACTCAGCGATGAGTAAATTTACCTCATGTTTTCCCAGGTTTTTCCAGGATTTTCCAGGGAAAAATTCCCGAATTTGAGAAAAGTAACGATTGGATTCACTCCGAAACTGAATAAAATTTTCGTCAATTTCCTCATTTTCCGGCAGACTTTTTAGGTTTTCCACAGGAAACCATGAGACAAATTTTACTCATCGCTGAGTTCCTGCACTTTTGGCGATTATGAGTGAACTAAACTCAAATTTGGGTCGTTCTCATTCGCCGTGTATAATATTGATGTTAAGGTTTCCCTATTGAGATGAAACGAGTGATTGTAGTTTTTGGGTTGTGTTCAATTTGGTGAATTTTCACTTAAATTTAACACTGTTGATCTTCCGAATTTCGAGAAGGTGTTTTTCAAAATTGATTTCTGGTCTGTCATAAATAAGTCTGGTACAATTGCAGGTACAATTACCCATGTGTTGAATGTAAGTGAAAATTCACCAAATGGAACACAGCCTATAGGTTATTACGCTATGCGCCTCTAATGCGAAATGGACTGTTCAATATCAACGCACGTGTGAACTTCTGGATCTGTGACGATATTGTTGGTGAAGTTATGCGATATATGTTGCTGAATGTAACTGCGCGTAACAACAACAGGACATATTCGCGCTATCATCATCATTGATGCTTCTTCACACGAAATGACAATCTGCAAATATTTATGTGTCATCGAGATCAAAGAACGTTCACCAGAAGCGCAATCAATATCTGCCATCAATTCATCTCAGGTATTTCATTATTTCCATAGAATATTTTCCTGTAAATTCGAATGCAGCCCGATGGGATTGTGAATGTAAAAGTGCATTGAGGGACAAATTCTCACAGTCGGTTTCAGTTTTAAAACTCAATTAGATTTATTACATATATAATAACATTTGAATACAGTATAACGGAAGCTGGGTGGAAACGGTTTCAAATGAAATGTGCTTGTCCTCGTAACAATGCGGAGGCTTCAAACTTAACAACTATGTAGTTATAATAGATTGGATACAGACTACCAGCATGGTTAACCGAAAGTGAAACACAGTGAGACCAAGCAAGATTAAATACCGATTCGTTGTTTACTGTTCCTGACCTATAATAACTGCGCATTCGTATTCGACGAGTTGCAATGCAATAACGACAACAACTCAACTCAATGAAACCAATCGTATCATATGGTAGCAAAGAAATCCTACGACAACTGTTGCTTCCCTCCTTCCTCGGTGGAGAGGGAGGGGACGTGTAATCACTCACTGTTTGGTTTAGTTGGATAGTGTTTTCTTGCTTTAATAGCATTACAGTTCATCATCAGCAAAAAGGGGAACACTATCAATCTGCTATGTATGTGTGTGTGAGTGTGTGTCTGTGTGACAAATTTGGTCTACCTTGATCGGAATTTATTTACTGCAGTTTAAATTGCAAAAAGGGGAACACTGTTTTGAGTATTCCGACCAATTACTGTTGTTGGTGAAGAAGATAGTTGGTCTAAGTAAATGTCTCAATTAAGGTGAAGGAACGGTGGAATGGATTTAATTTCACAGCAGCGGTGGAAAATCCTATATAAATTGTGAGAAATTTTGCTTGGGAAACGATCACAGAAATATCGCGAGTGTAATTTCACTTGTAATCTGTAATTAAAAAAAAATTTAGTGTAATTAATTGTTTGAAACCCCAGTAACTATACAATTGGTAAACACCAAGCAGAAGTCAATTACTTTAAGCATAATTATAACCATATTGAGCTGTTCAATGAAATTTACTATGGATTAGCTTTTGAAAACCTTTTCAATGGCTGACAAAAAGGATTTCATATTCAGGATCCATAGTTCCCATCCAGCTCGCCCTCATATTTTAAATTGAAACCAAAATGTCTCCTAATGGCTGTACAGAAGGCATTTTGGATTCCTCAAATCAATCGCCAAAGTTCAAATAACAAAACACGTGAAAAACAATCCAATCCCGTCCCTCCACCACGATAAAGTTGTTGGTGTTACAAGTTTGGTGATTTTTTTCCTGGCACATTCCACTGTGATTTTTTAACTAGTGTAATTAAGACTCACAACAATGATCCTAGCATATTGAAATTACTGCTGGAGAAGGTTTCATCGCGATAGTATTTTTCAATTTGGCTATTTCAACTTTCAGCAGAATCGGTTCACATAAGACTTACATATATTATTTCTTTTAGACGCTGTCTGTCAGTTCATAATCACACTGGAGTTTCACTACACGTGTTCGTTTCTTTCTTCATGTTTTAAATTTATCCACGAAAAGCAGTATACCTATTTCTTTTGTTTAGATTTATTTATCATTTGCTAGTAAGTATCCTATCGATTTCTGTTTTTTTTTTCTCTATTCAATTAAGTTAACTTTTAACTGTATACTTGCAAGAATAGCTCTCGAAAATCAACGGAAACCCATAATTTGAAGCATCCAACATTACAAGCGAACGAACTTAGCTGGGAATGTTCACCCTTAACCCAAATGGAGCTTTATGGCTGTAAAGCTTCACTCGGACCATTGAGCTTACCATTCTCGCAGCCAATTCACTTCGCTCATATGAAGGACAACCGCGAGAGGAAATGATACACGAAGCTATACAGAGAGAGAGAGAGAGAGAGCGATAGTAGAAGCCATAATAGCAGAGTAGGTGGCATTCGCCTTAACAATTTTACCGTGGACACAAACCTTACCACTTTGTCTAGTTAAGTTTCAACATTGTTCGCCACGTGTGATTCTACTGCTACATAATACCTCTATCATACCAAACCAGTAACAATGTTACGCCGCTTCTTCCAATGGAAGCAAAATTATGAATTTCAATTATAAAATCCTATTCGCTTTTGACAGGCTACATCGCGAATTTATGTACAACTGTGTAGAGACACCCTGTCAATCGCTGCCAACCATCATCTGATTGGCCTTTCAAATATGATTCAATTCGCTTGTTGTTTACCTCCACTGACTGCCAACGGATTCTGGGAAATCACTTGGATCACTATTATCTATACAGCATTTTGTCCTTGTCCGAAGATCGACCTTAAAACCTACCACAGTAAAAACCGATCTAGCGCTTCGCTAATCCCGAGTGTCACTCTGTGAGTGATTCGTTTTTACCATTTAGTTATCTGTTACTTGCTATCAAGAAATTTTCATATAATCCTAAAAATGAGCGACTTTGTAGCCCACACAAACTTGGCGGCGCCAAAATTGGTTTACATATCCTAGTAATACAAAAAAATCTCCCGTCCTGCGTGCCATGCATAAGACATGACACGCGATCAAACGAAATAGATGTCAAACTTGAGCGAGAACGATCGCACTCAAACCTCTTCGCCTTCGTCCGTGTTGGTCAACCGAACCTGAGCCGGTTCCGTCGTAACCCCGTTGACGGCCATCTGCTGATCGCGCCAGGGAGTCGTCAGGATGATCATTCGCTGCAATGAAACCAATCAATCAAACCAATGATACACAAACCGGATGAAATGAATGAAAGTCTCACCTGTCGGAAAGTTCCCGGCGTGACGATCAACTTGTAGAATGCCACCAGCGGGATCATGATCATTGAAGAGCCGGCGATGCACCACCCGAGCACGTTGGCCCACGTTGGATAGATGTAGTCCTCGTAGCTGAGCGGCACGTATCCAACCAGGCCGTAGATGATGATAAACAGCAGGAACAGAGGGGCCAAGAACTTCCAGCACACGCGCCAGTACATGCCTGGAGCGAAGCCGATCATGTCACGGATGTCCTCGCAGAAGCGTTCCGTTCCTGTGGATAAAGGAAGTGCGTTGGTGAGATTGTTGCATCCTGATCGTGAAGATGAATTGTTTGAAGCCATCGTTGGATGAACCAAGAAAACACCAATTTTGGCATCTTCGATTATGTGATCCGCTGGATCACACTCACCACATGTTTGTACGTCAAAAAATTGATCAAACATTTACAGCATATTTGGCCATAATAATGTACTTTTCAAAGTGTCCCGAATCGTAACCTAATTGTCCGGGTTATATAACTGGAGAACTTGATTCTAAAAAATATGTTACTTTAAACCAAAAAACGTTGGAAGCCAACGAGACACATGTTTGTAATAACAGTTCAAATGCTTGCATTTAAGAAACATTGAGCTAAATTAGATAATGTTGCATATGTTTAGATTAAAGACCATAGTTGCATGTTGCCAAAAATAAGATCTCATTTTGCTTGTAAATGAATCGAATGATGTAAAACTATTACAATGTGGATATGCGAAGAATGAACTTAGTCAGTGGATGTCAGAAAATGACATTTTAATGTCAGTTTGAATTTCAAGATTGTGCTTTCCGGATAGCTGTAAATTACAGGAAATTAAGAAAAGTCCATCAATATGGACATTGAAAAAAGATGAAAAATCAAAACAAGTTACGAAACTTATATGAAAGCAAAGACAACAAATCAAGAAGACTGGCAACTCTTCCATTTTCTCATATTAATGCTATGCGACAGGTACAATCGCGTCATCTGCCGCTCAACTAGTTAAACGTTGTAGACACCATTCACCTCTCCAGTTATCATTACACTTATACCAGGCTTGCACTTTTCGGGTTACCGTGGACAGCGTATCGTATGGCTACCGTAGGACTGACTTCGAGGGAATGGCAACCTTTTTCGATGAACTCCGAGATCGTGACGCGAATGCTGCCTCGTCTATTTTCTCGAAAACTCCACCCATATCTAGTAACCCTCCTTGGACCAACCACCGACTCAAGCAACTGAAGTCATCCAAACGAGCTGCCTTGAAGACATTTTGTAAACTTCGAACGGATGCATCGAAGAGGAAGTACAACTTCGTTAACAAACAGTATAAGCGGCTCAACAAACAGCTTTATCAAGCCCATCAGCGCCATCTACAAACTAAACTCAAAGCAAATCCCATGAACTTCTGCAATCATGTGAACGATCAACGGAAGGAATCGGGCTTACCTTCTACAATGTACAATACGGATCAAGAAGAATCAGATACGGATACGGGAATCGCTGACCTGTTCATGTCACAATTCAACAGTGTCTTCATTAAAGAAAATTTACCTAACGAGCACATCGTAGCCGCCGTAAGTGATGTTCCCGTACTTTCTTCTGTTGAGCCGCATCCACCTACCTCGACTAATGATGTTCGTAGAGCAAGCCTTCGTTTGAAAAATTCTTTCAGCACTGGCCCTGACGGAATCCCTTCCGCGGTTATTAATAACTGTATTGGAGTGCTGGCCGCACCTTTAGCATCCATCTTCAACCTCTCTTTGGATTCTGGGATCTTTCCCGACTGCTGGAAGGATTGTTATGTTTTCCCTGTCTTCAAAAAAGGCAATAAGGAGTCGATGTCCAACTACCGTGGTATCGCTGCTTTATGTGCAATCTCAAAACTTTTTGAACTATTGGTGCTATATTATTTAAAACACACATGCTCTAGTTACATCGCGACTGAACCGAAGAGTTCGACCGCTACAAATCTCGTTCAACACACATCATCAATCATACGCGAGATGGAAAGAGGTCATCAAATGGATGCTATCTACATCGATCTTTCTGCTGCTTTTGATAAAATCAATCATGAGATTGCAGTGGCCAAATTTGGTTTTCACGGTTCCCTTCTTGATTGGTTACGCTCATACCTCACCGGTCGACATATGTCAGTGAAGATTGAAAATCATTTTTCTCAACCGTTCACTGTTTCTTCTGGTGTACCTCAAGGCAGTCATCTGGAACCGTTCATATTTTTATTGTATCTGAATGACGTTCACTTTTCGATCCGTTGCCGGAAGCTGTCTTATGCTGACGATTTCAAACTATACTTTGTCATCAAAGATCGAAGTGATGCATTGTTTCTTCAGCAGCAACTGGACGTTTTTACTGTTTGGTGTGACAAGAACAGGATGGTATTAAATGCTTCTAAATGTGCCATTATAACGTATTCCAGGAAAAAAAAATCACCTATCTGTTATGCTTACAGCCTGCAGGAGCAAATATTAAGCCGTGAATCTACCATTAAAGACTTAGGCGTCCTACTTGATTCACAACTCACCTTCAAGGACCATGTGGCTTATGTTTCCGCTAAGGCGTCTTCTCAACTTGGTTTTATTTTTCGTTTCGCCAAAGACTTTAGGGACATTGTTCGCTAGTACACTCCACATTAGAGTACTGTTCCGTAGTATGGGCTCCTTTTACAACAACGGGGTGAATCGTATTGAGGCCATTCAGCAAAGATGTGTACGTTTCGCCCTTCGTTGGCTACCCTGGAGTGATCCTTTCAATCTCCTTAGTTATGAAAGTCGCTGTAATTTGATGTCCCTACAATTACTTAGTGTTCGCCGAGGCGTCTCTAAAGCTACCTTCATCGCTGATCTCCTTCGATCAGACATTAATTGCGGTTTACTTCTACAGCAGTTGAATGTCAATATCAGAAGCGTAAATTTACGTTCTTATTATTTTTTTCAACATCCCAGCTTCTCGCACAAACTACGGCGCTAATAAGCCGTTAACTAGCGTGCAAGATTTTCACCAAATGTTATAACTGCTTTGATTTTAATATCTCCCGTGTTAGGCTTAAGAATCTGTTTTATAATGTACTTTTCACTTCCTGACGGTTTCTGTTATCTGTATTTAAATTAAGTTAATAATGTTATCATTAATATCTTTTTATATGTTTAGGACTTAGTTCAAGCAAATGTATCTGTAGGATTCCATGTTATCTGTTGGTACTGAAATGATGAAGTTTTGCACCCACTAGTGTGGACTTTTACCTCCAAATAAATAAATAAATAAATTAAATAAATAAATAAAAAAAAAAAGGTAAATGCTTCGAATGAATTAGGTAGCAAAGATTACATCCTCAGAAGAAAGGTTTGTGTATTTGCTCATTTTTCTATGCATTGCTTCCACCTTCACTCAAGCGCAGCGCTATTATATCTGTCGCAGTTGCCAGTCTTCATGATATAATGTCTTTGATGAAAGCCAGGCTGAATTGCAGCAACAATCAATACGAAACTAACGATTTTAAATTGGCTCACTACTTGGCTAGCCTATTGGTCCCAAGCAAACGATTAACGTACCCCATTCTAGTCGATATTCTAGTACTACGCTATGTTTGTTTTGATTCGCTATGAAAGTTTGACAGATAAAATGAGGGGTTATTGGTTTTCCTATGTTTCGAGGGGTGAATCGATTAGCTTGGGACCGAAGAGAGTACCAGAGCTGAGCCAAAAAGTTGAGCACGTTATTTCGGGACCTTCTGGACTTAGAGTTAGCTCTATGATTGCAGTGTGTTCTTGAGATCATTACTTTGAATGCATGAGGCATCACTGGACCCAGAACCTTAGAACACTTAACTTGAATGGTAAGGTATGGCTTGAAACCCAAACTCAGAACGTCCCGAAAATGAACTTAATAGATCGCATTACGTTAGTAAGTCCAATAAATCACTTCTTTAATAAATTCTTTTAGTATAGTTAATTTCAATATAAACATCTGGATATTTCGGAAAGTTAGGCCTTGGAATACAAAATGCCCATAAAGTCTCAATAACTTTATGACTATCTCAACAGTACGGCAACTCAGGACTGAAAGTGCAAATCACCCAGAACGTTCTAAAAAAAAAATTTCTGATCCAAACTGTCCTAGTGAGATCCATTGGCGTAACTAATGGAGCTTCAAATGGAGCCGAGCCCCCCAGGACTTTTGGGTGTTTTTTGTACATCAGTATTTTGTCAAGCAGGTTCGAGGCTAGTTTTAATTTTCATTGATGTTTCTGCATGTCTACTTTTCTTAATGTTCTAGACTAGAAGAAACAATGTTTAGAACTTATGTTAAAGGGTGATACGGTCAAAATTTGGTCAATATCAACTTGACGTATTTCTTTCAATTTTGCATTTAAAAAACCTGAACACCCCTCATTTTGAAGGTGTGTGTGTGTGTGTAGAATGTTGCTCCTATTTTGATTTTGGAATTCACTCTTCAGTTGTCAAAATGCCGTCCAAGCAAGAAGAGCAGCGTATCAAAATTTTGCTCGCGCATCGCGAAAATCCGAGCTACTCGCACGCAAAGTTGGCAAAATCGCTAAAAGTTGCCAAATCAACCGTTACAAATGTAATTAAAGTGTTTGGGGAACGTTTGTCGACTGCCAGGAAGTCTGGATCGGGGGGAAATCGAAAACCGAAAGCCGCTGAGACGACAAAGAGAGTTGCCGGTAGTTTCAAGCGAAACCCTAACCTCTCTCTCCGAGATGCCGCAAATAAGCTGGGTGTATCGTCTACAACAGTGCATCGAGCCAAAAAACGAGCCGGACTATCGACTTACAAGAAGGTAGTGACTCCAAATCGCGATGATAAACAAAATACGACGGCCAAAGCGCGATCCCGGAGGCTGTACACGACGATGCTGACGAAGTTTGACTGCGTGGTAATGGACGACGAAACCTACGTCAAAGCCGACTACAAGCAGCTTCCGGGACAGGAGTTTTATACGGCAAAAGGAAGGGGAAAGATAGCAGATGTTTTCAAGCACATGAAACTGTCAAAGTTCGCAAAGAAATATCTGGTTTGGCAAGCCATCTGTACCTGTGGCTTGAAAAGCAGCATTTTCATAGCTTCCGGGACTGTCAATCAAGAAATTTACGTGAAAGAGTGTTTGAATAAACGTCTGCTGCCTTTCCTGAAGAAACACGGTTGTTCCGTACTGTTTTGGCCGGATTTGGCATCTTGCCATTACGGTAAAAAGGCCATGGAGTGGTACGCCGC